ATAGTTGCACAACATTTCCAAATATATGGTTATAACTCTAATCTATGAGAGCCTCCATGCTGGAGCATAAGAAGCAACAGATACAAAACAGGCAGGTATGGCAACCCCTTTATTGGTGCAGGGACATATCAGAAACCCATCAGAGCACAATGGCAGCTGAAGACGTCCATTGTATCCCCTTGCCAATTCCAACAAGCCATTGCCATATGTATTTTGGTTGGCTCATTCCCAAGGTTTTCCATAAAAAAGTAAGGGAGTGAGTAATTCTCATCCACCAAAGCAAATCTTTGACTTCTCAGTATTCACATTCCCATGTAAACACACTTTACTCAGATGGTCATGGTAACCCTGAGCCTGGCTAGGATTTTTCTTTTGCGTTTTGGATACGTTTAGGGCTTACCTACTTCAGCTCACTGCTCCTCAGGTTCTTGCAATTCTTTTAAAGTTGCTGAGGTAGTCTTCAACATCATCCTGCACTGACAATTTCTGATATGCTCTTCACCAGCTGTCAAGGTGTTAACTGTAGAGACAGATTCACTTGCTGCTATACCTCTATAAAGGCTTGGTGGGTTACAGTCAGCTGTTGCATCTTTTAAAGTGGTTGCAAACCCTTATAAATACCCAGTGAAGTTACTGGCCTCGGGTGATGAATAGAGATGAAACAAATCCTCCTATGTAAGTTGTACCTGTTTATCTGAAGCCATCTCTCTTCTACAGCCATTTAACGTGCAGAATTTTCTGAGTTTCTAGAGGCAGGGGGTGGGGATCTAAGCACAGCTTATAGAGGAGAGCTGAGTGTAATCTCAGACCTGAATGGACTGAATGCACACACTCCCCTCTACACAGTTTCATAAGATAACATGCACAGCTAAGGTTGTCAGTCCCAGGCTGTGTGCTGAAGGCATCCTCCTCTGTTTCCCTCAGGATTCGAGTTCTACAGCACATCTGCACTCCATGCAGGGTCATGGAGAATTCTCGCCTAGACACAAATAAAGCAGTTTGAAAAAAAAAGATGTAGACAGGTGCTTGGCTAGAGACAGAGAGTGATTTAAGGTACTGTGCTGCTGTGCTCCTTGTGCTCCCAAATGACTTCAGCTGAATGCGTTAACACTACCTTGCATCCATCCACCAGTGGAACTGATAAGCAGAAGGAGTTCAGGATACTTGATGGTTGGCAGCATTGGATCATGGGAAAGAAATTTTACTATGGCAATTTATGGACCATTGGATTACAATTCTCAATGTGAGATGGGTATAAGGGGGGAGAGAGGGTTGTATTCTCTCAAGCTATTTTCTAAAGCTGAATTCCAAGGAATTCTTTCTTTGCTGTGAGGAGATCGAGGTGTGCACATCGGCACTCTGGTGTGCACATCAACCTACCACAAGCCTTCGACCATGTTCTGAGGACCAAAGTCACTCCAGGCATATTCAGAAGTTTTAGCCAGAACACAAAGGGCACAACAGCAATATGCAATAGTGCACTTACTGTATATACTAATCACACTCTATTAAATTATAATCGGAAATAATGTTAGCATACAATAATGCATTTACTCTATGTGCTTAAATGGGGAGACTAAGCCAATTTAATTAGGTGGTATTAGCTGATCCTCAACATAGTATGGATAGTGTCCTGGAATTGATGGTTTGCTAAAGAGAAAGGAGAGATGGTAGGATCTAAATGGCACCCCATTCAAACCCATAAGTCAATATTGATACCAAAAATATATAAAAACAATAGTAAATAAAATACCTGGATGCATGTAGGTATGTTGCCACTGATATTGATATGAGGGCCTTAATATATCAGCTGTCACGGTCTATCCAAACCCCACTGGGTGCGATGAAAAAGAGTTACCGGTATGCTTGTAGAGTATTTGCTTCCCAGCATGGAACAACACTGTAAAACACGATACTTGAAATCAATGTCCCATCCATATTGCATGGCAAGCCTATCAATGCCACCAAAGTACCACCAAACATTTACTATACCCCATAGCACCTATTGTCTGAAGTCTGGCTGCCTACCGTTGCCTCTGAAGAGCAAAATGGCCACTGTAGTGGCACCACAGGTGCCGTCACAATGTCTGCCCTAAATAGCCCTGACCAGGGTACGCACACTGCGTAGTGCGGCGTGTGACGTCATCTGATCCGGCTGGAAAAGCTGCGCACGCTTGAGGGACCGGATGCGCAGATGGGACACATCCTCCCCAAAGACCGATGACTGGCACTGAGGGGGACAGCGCATGCATGGATGGACCAACCACCCAGAAGGGAGGCCAGACACCCCCCTCAGCATGCACGCAGTCAGAGGTGGGGAAGGGAACTACCCTAATACTCCATACTTTGGCCGCAGTGCATGACAGGGGGGAGACAAAACACACCCTAAGGCATGCACGTACACCTTTCCAGCTGGAAACTGGACTTCTCACCCACATCTGCTCCAATATATTGTTGAAAAAACTCTATATATGCCTTTTTAAGAAGATGTTTCAATTTCACAAAAAATATTGATTAAAAAAAATCATCATCTTTGTTGGCTCCAGTACATGTAGTATGTATATCAGTCATAAAGCTTGACCAAGCTGTACCTACAAAGTCTATAGTTCACTATATGGGGATGCTTGGAATGCCTAATTTCTGTACTGTAGTAATGATAAAAAAATATATAATTTAACAGAGTGTGATTAGTATATACAGTAAGTGCACTATTGCATATTGCTGTTGTGCCCTTTGCGGTCTGGCTAAAACTTATTTATTTATGGCCAGTATTGATAGAATCTAAAGGTGCCTTGTTTTTATTAGATTGCAGTGTTACTATATGGTGCTGTCCCTGGCCCCCTGATGTGCCTCCATGTCTGGACAATAATCCTGGTGTACCTATTTCCCTCCGATGATTAACTACAACTGTGATTTTATTGTCAGTAATTGCAAGTGGAAATTTGTTTTTACTTTGACGATGTAGTATATACATGTGCACATACCTTCTGATTGTATATCTGTATATAAACATGAACAACAAAATCTCTGTTCTATTATAGAAGCACCCTCTCTTAGATCCTGAGAAAGCGAAATACAGTCGTGAAACATGTAGAGCCAATTCCAGCTGAAGTTGTACTAGCTCTCAATTGTGACATCACATCTGTATTCAGTCAACTGTATAAGGTGATCTCGGTCATCGGTGATCTATTTTGGTACCCTTTAGTCAATACAGTTATTTAGGAGCGGTATGATTTCAATTGATCCATGTGTTAAGGTGCAATTTCTTCCATTTTCAATGTGTGGTACATATGTTGTATCACTTTTAGGCAACATTGTTTCTGTCCTTGTGTAACATGTGATTTGTGTAATAAAGAGAACAATGATTTTACAACTCTGTTTGATGTTTATGTGCCTACAAAGTCCATTGAGCCTTAACCATTTCCTCAATAGAGCTAAAAATGCTCACTCAGATAGCTTCTTCACAAGAACTTTGCCTATTGTCCATAGTAAGAGGTTCCTTTTTAAGGACTTTTAAATTTCATCACTTCTGTTCATATAGAGTGCACTCTAAATTGGATACAGCCTACTGTTTACAGAGGGGTCAATGCAATATTGATTATCACTGCTGTTATTGTTCTCCAATGCCATCACTTATTGCTGATTTTGTGGATTGCCAAGTTTACTTTAATTTAGCTGCATAGAACTCTGTTCTATGCTTCTATAGCCTAGCGCAGCCTTTCTCAACCAGGGTGCCCAGGCACCCCGGGGTGCCTTCAGGCTTTTTCAGGGGTGCCTTGGTAAAATGCTCAAAAACTGCCCAAAAATTGTTTACAAGCGAGCAGATGGATTAAGCCTGCCTTTTAGTTGCACAAAGCCCTAGGTTTTCATTGCGCACTTTTACAACCTGCCGGCATCCTAACAACCAATTACATCATTAGTTGATAAGGAGGATGTCGGTTGCCTGCACAGCATTTTTGTTTCCCCTTTTCCTGCCCTTCTTTATCAGCAGGGGGGTCACATTAGCTGAGTGAGAGAGAGAAACTGTGGGAGAAGAGAAACAATTGAATACTAGTCAGTAACAGTTTGCAAAAGAATATTTTCTTTGGAAGAATAAATCACCTCTAACATTGGGTGTAATATGCGTGTGGATGTTGTTGCATTATGTAAAACTATTAGAATAGTTTTTTTACATTTTAGGATGGGGTGCCTCGAGACTGTCCATAATTGTAGAGAGTGCCTTGAGATTGTCCACAATTTTAAAGTGTGCCTTGACTGAAAAAAGTTTGAGAAACACTGGCCTAATGAACATATTGTCTGGTGTACTGTGATTGACCTAAACCTTTACTTGCTCATTTATGTACATACTGCTTTTTACTGCAACCCATGACAATATATTGGGTTAATTTAACACTAACCAGTCTGATACTGAACGTAGTTGTGTGCAGGGTATCTATATTTGTTCTCCAGTAGGAGTGCAGTATCCATTTGCCTAACCTGGTGTATCAGTGGAGCTGAGGATGTTCTCAGAGTAGAGGCAGAAGAACAGAGAACCCAATTTACCGAGCGGCTCCTGCAGGGGTTGATCTACTAAGAAAAAAAAAACAGTTCTATTTATAAAAGAGGGAAGGTGGAAGAAGGCAGGGCAGCAGAACATGCAATTAAGGGTGAAGGTCTGCTTTAAATGGTTAAGCAGTTCACCTGATCTTGGTTAGCATTTGCAAATATGAATTATTTTACATGGTCACCTATTTTGTTCAGCAGTAGTCTCTTAAAAGTGCTGCCTGCATTCTCCACCAAGTTGTAAGGGGGACAGGCTCAGCTGGTATTGGCACTTGTAAATGATGCACTGGCAGGGGCGGACTGACCATTTGGAAACTCGGCACTGCCCAAGGGCACGGGGTCAGTAGGGGGCCCCATGAGATGCCCCTGGTACCTTTTTCATATGCTTTTTTTGAGTTTGGGCAAGGACACAGGGGCCCCATGATCCCCTATTGCCCAGGGGCCCCATGAGTTGTCAGTCCGCCCCTGTGCACTGGACAGAAACATGCAGGAACAGTCCATGCAGGTTTGTCTCGCACCTTTATTCAGTGTGACAGCAAACAAACATAATTCTAGTGCTGGATGGCTTTTTACAGCAAGTCTATGGAATAACGCAAATAAAATCATGTTCACCCAAACCAGGCAACACCCAACAGCAGGTTACCACAGCAGAGCTTGAGAGAAAACCATGAGCACCAGTAACTTCACCTATGGAGAGCTGAGACTAATGAGGTTTGGCTACCAGGTAAAATGCGGACCTAGGAATGACATTCTGTAGAAATCTGTATTGGGAGAATATGTTGCCTGATACTGCTGACTTGTCCATCTGTAAATCCTAGCTGCCCATGTACTGTACAAACCATAAAAAGCCACACACCACTTCCCATTCAGCTAGTGAAACGTTATTGTTTGAAGAGCAATAGAGACATGCCACCTTTGTCCTTTCTCTGTAGAGTGTCTCCTCTTTCTTGGGACTTTTTTTGTAGAGCCATAATCAAACCCTGTAGGGCAGCGGTTCTCAACCTGTGGGTCGCGACCCCTTTGGGGGTCAAACAACCTTTTCACAGGGGTCTCCTCAGACCATCGGGAAAAACACATATTTCTGATGGTCTTAGGAACCAAGACACCACTCCTCTATCAGTCTCCAGGCGGGTCCGCCCACATGCAGATACGTCCACATTTCCCTGGACCGCGATGTGTGCGCGGGATGACATGCCGCCCCTGTCATCTGGCCACATCCCCGGGATCACTCAACAGCTCAGCCTCCTCGGTAGTGATTGGCCGCTGGAACTGTAGCTCAGGAGAGGCACACAGGCGGCCAATCACCAGCAAGGAGGAGGAGCCGAGCAGCAGCGCGAAGATCAAAGAAGATCGAGCGAGGGAGCTGCCAGAGAAGGAAGACAGCTGACAGGTAAGTGTCTGTAGCGTGCAGATGGTGCTGCTGCAGCCAGGTATGCTGGCTGTAGATGGGAGAGGGAGGGGGGACCGAGCCCAGGCTGGAGCAGGAGTCAGCAAGGTAAGTATCATTGGTGTCATTGGGAATAGGTGTCACTAATACCAATGATGGGGCACTATTCCTCCCACTGACACCAATGATGGAGCACTATTTCCTCCCCCCCCACTGACACCAACGATGGGGCACTATTCCTCCCCCACTGACACCAACAATGGGGCACTATTACCAACGACACCAACGATGGGGCACTATTCCTCCCACACTGACACCAATGATGAGGCACTGATGGGGCACTATTCCTCCCACTGACACCAACAATGTGGCACTATTCCTCCCACTGATACTAATGATGGGACACTATTCCTCCCACTGATACCAACGATGGGGCACTATTCCTCCCACTGACATCAGTGATGTGGCACTACTCCTCTCACTGACACCAATGATGTGGCACTACTCCTCCCACTGCAAAATTACAGTTATGAAGTAGCAACGAAAATAATTGTATGGTTGGGGGTCACCACAACATGAGGAACTGTATTAAAGGGTCGCGGCATTAGGAAGGTTGAGAACCACTGCTGTAGGGGGATCAAATGTGTCAAATAGACATATGGATTGTCTCATATGCTGCTTGGATCATAAAGTTATTTTTGAATATGAAGTGATTTGGGGGTCTGTGTTTTGTTTGTATGTGTACTACTAGGAGGGATGACAGAACCCCCAAATTATGCTGACACCTGAGGCTGGAAAGAGGCACAGGACCTAGTAATGATGTTGAGTACATATACGTGAAAATTCTAGCTGTCCGCAGCACAGATTTGATTGTTATAGTCTCAATATATTCATGACACTTTGCAATGAACATTGAACCATGTACCCTTGAAGTATCAGTTCTGGAAGGAAACCTACCAGTATGGTTTTTTAAATTATGAGGAAACCAGGACATTTAGAAGACACCTACATAAAAAGAAACAAACTAGTCATTAGGAAAACAATATAATATATGAATAGACGTGGAACCTAGAATCCCGGGGGTTGCAGGGTCCGCACTCTAAAAGTCCTTCCCAATCATAGGGAGTGGTGGGACCAACTGGATTGCTGAGATTTGTCCAATCATGAAGAAAATAATCCAGCAAATCAACAGCTGACGATGTTGCTTAAATTTACAGTCAGTGCACAACTTCCCCCCTACTTGTCCGTTTACTGTTGATAACAGCATTTTAAAGCATTACGTATTGGCTGGGTTTGCATAAACTTTTATTTTTATATAGATAATACTTTCATTAGCTTTTTTTTCCCTCAAACAAAGTAAATTGTTCAGGTCGTACCCTAGGTCGGCATAAACTTCCTCAACTGAGATGCTGGCTCATAGATGACACAGTCACATAAATGCTGGTGCTCATGTGCATTTTTGGCCATGTTCAAAAATATCTGACACATATCAGACTCCTTCCTCTGACCACTGCAGGGAGTAAATGCTCCCTCCTTCCTGCAGCAGACTGGTGACATCATCTCATCCTAAGCAAACAAGACCTCAAAAGCAAAAATTTAACTGGACTTGCAGACACTCTAGAAAGGTGACACCATGGCAGGAAGGGGTACATACACCTTGAGGATAAACAATGAGCATGAAAATTAACATGAAATTGGACCTTACTTGTGTATTTTGTGCAGGTATGGTGTGCAATCTGTATCTGATGATGCACAATTCCATTGCTTATCTTTGCTGTCCAGGAATAATACACACAATTGTTGCAATAACAAAGCCACCTATTGATAACTGAAGTGTGAACTGTGTGAAGTGAAGAGCATTTCAGAAAGTAAACATTTGCCATCTATTTCCTACAACTTAGGTCTTGCATGTTGGCTCATGCCTTCCACACTTGCTCATGCATTCTCCCTTCCTTCTCAACCCCATTATTCATCTTTGAAGGCTGCTTATAAAAGTACCGTATCTGTTTAAACTTGATCAACAAATTGCTCAACTCCACTCTATCGACTTTTTTTCATGTAAATGATCTTGTGCTGTGGAACAATGACAAATGTCCTTCCATTATTTACCAACAGTGAATACAATCATTTATCCTATTGTTTTAGAACCTTTTTTTTTCCAAATACCAAGTTCAACTAGTACCACAGTATAGAAAGCAAAGGTGATATGCAATCCATAACATTATCAATAACAATCAATTTCAGTTTCCCACTGACATGTTAGCAAAAGATGAGGTTGGTTACTGTAAGCGACTACAGGATCTTTTTAGGGGCTTTATTGCTCTGTTGTGCTATTCACTGCAGATAGAGTAGCATTATACATGCCCAAATGATGCCCACAGTGAGCAACACCAATATAGTAATAGGAAAGACAAGACAAACCAATCAGAATTCATAACCATGAGTAACCCCCAATTTCTTTAACCCCTTCAGACTCACTGATGGTGCACAAATGTCCATTGCCAGCCAGTACTTGGTTGATGTTTTGAGATAGTTTAGAAGGGCGATGGATGCTTATAAAAACAATAATTAAAAGAGTCTAACAAAGAACTTGCAAGCCCAGTATGTCTGACATTGCTGGGATAGCAATGCTTAAAACAGTCATTGTTAACCATGGTTCCTCCAGAGGTTGCTAGCGGTTCCCTATGCTGTGGCTAATTGAACTTCCATCTGATGGTGCCTGCATAATTTCAGGTCCATCACCACTTGTCAGAGCAGATAGCATACCACCAATTGTCATTTTAGCTAAGGGTGGCATTCTGATCACCACAGTAAGGGGGCATTCTTCCTACTGACCACCAATGTAAAGGGCATTTTCCCAATGACCCACAATGGACTAATACTAGCAGGGGATCCCCTGAAAACCTAAAAATTACTAGTAAAAAGGTTGAGAAAGGCTGACTTTAACTGTATGTATTTTAGTATGCATAACATCATGTTTCACTGTATAAAGTCTTAAGCAAAGTTTTTTGTTGCCAAGTTCCTAACCTGGAGATCCTGCCAGTAACAGTAATTCCTTTTGCAGGCTGACAACATTGAACTACTATCTCACAATTAGCAACAACAGTGTCAGTCCATAGCTACTGGTATGACAGTGCCTTAGCTTTGTCAGTCTGCAATAGGAATTACCATTACTGGGAGGATCTCCAAACAAGAACCTTTGCGACCAATTCCCAATATGCTTAAGGAAAGTGTTTTACAGGAAAGCATTATGCCAAACATGCAGACAAATAGATTCAGGCTTTAAATAAACTTTAAGAAGAATTGTTAGAGTACCTGAGGAACCACCCAGCCACCTACATTTCCGGTAAATTGTGGAAACCAAATAAAACGGTATAACAGGGATCAAATGGGAACATATCTGTTTAAGAGTTATCAAGCATCCATCACCTTCATATTGTTTTATTGTTTTATTGTAACATATGAACAAAGTGGGTATTGTCATTTATTATTTTTTATCACTTCCAACCAAATATACCTTTAAAGTTTCTGGTCAGTCTAGAAAGCGCAAGCAACTCTAGTAGTATACCCACATAGATTCATAGCAGGAGACCAGCAAAGTAAACAAGATGCTTCTAAGCTGATACTCATGAGTATAAAGGTAAACTGCATGCAAAGGTTCAAAGACTTTCCAGTATGTATTTCATAGAGAAGACGCATAAAGGTGGCATATGACATATGTTCTTGTAAAAATTCCAGGGAGCTAGAAAAAAAGTGTTTCTCAAGTTGCATTTGGTCCCACACCCTCCTGCTTACTGTACCTCACTGATGGTCAGTCAGACCATCCAATTTTCAAGAGTACCTCTACAGGGTAGATTGGTAAGGTATCAAACAATATCTATTTTGCCACTAGATAAGAAATCTTCACTACAAGCCAAATCAATCCAAAAGTTTTATTTCAGCTTTGTATGTGAAAATTATTACGGATGCAAACAATGTATCTGGATACAAAAGCCTTCACTAATTTGGGGAGACCTGCAATGTAGAAGTCTTGTAATAAAACTTCACAGATGTTTTGCCAGTTTCTGTTTACTACTCCGTGGTATTGTTCTATGAACAGTATGGATCCTGACATGCTGATTGTTATATTTTTCTGGGGTTCCAGTGATG